GGTGTCTCGGGCTACCCGGCGCTAACGCATGTCGCTAATTTCACAATTAATTTTGTTCGGCGCCTGCGGCGGGTTTTCTTATCCAATCCAGCCCAGCTTATCTTATCCAACCCATAATGCCCAATCCAACCCATATGATCTTATCCAACCCATTTTGTCCCATCATATATATATAAATATAAAAGTATCCTACCCTATCCAGCGCACCCAACCCAATCCATCAATTCATTTGTTTTTGCGCCTGCGGCGGGTCAATCCAATCCATCTTATCTTATAAAACCCATTTCTTCCAATACAACCCAACTTATCTGATCACATCAATCTTATCCCATCTAATCCAATCCACCAAACCCAATCCATCAAATCAATGTTGTCGGCGACTGCGGCGGGCTTTCTTATCCAATCCAGCTTAACTTATCCAGTTCATCTTGTCCAATCCAATCAATCTCATCTTATCCAACCAATACTGTTCCATCTTATCTTATCCGACCCAATCCAATCCATCCAACCCAATCCATCAATTCATTTGTTTCTGCGCCTGCGGCGGTCAGGGTGACAGGCTGGAGGTCAATTAGGGTGGGCATTTGATCTCAATCCCCCCCACTCTCCTTATCGCCCGCAGGGCGGTCGCATAGGTATCTCTCTCTCTCTCTCTCTCTCTATATATATATATGTATATATCATACGCCCTTCGTGGCCCCCAGTCGTTCGTGCCCTCAGTGGCCCCCTAGTTGCCCTTTGTAGCCCCATTGCTGCCCTTCGTGGCCCCCCAGTCGTTCGTGCCCCGTGGCCTCAGTGGCCCCATTGCTGCCTTTCGTGGCCCCAACGTAGCGTCTTGTGCCCCCCCCCCGCTGCCTATTGTGGCCCCATTGCAGCCCTCAGTGGCCCAGGCGCTGCCCTTCATGGCCCCCTGTCGCTCGCGCCCTCAGTAGCCCCGTTGCTGCCATTCGTGGCCCCAGCGTAGCCTCTCGTGGCCCCCCTTGCTGCCCTCTGTGGCCCCGTCAATGCCCTCAGTGGCCCCGTTGCTGCCCTTCGTGGCCCCGCTGCTGCCCCCAGTGGCCTCCTTCGCTGCCCATTGTGGCTTCGTTGCTGCCCTTGGTGGCCCATGTGTATACGCCCTTCGTGGTCCCCGCTCGCGCTTGCCCCCAGTGGCCCCATTGCTGCCCTTCGTGGCCCCGCTGCTGCCCTTCAGTAGCCTCAATGCTGCTTCTCTCGTCCGCAGTTCTGCTCCTTCCCTCTTGTCCCTTGCCTCCCTCCCTTACCCCCACTCCTTTCCTCCTAGTTTTTGTTTTCTCTCTCTCTCTCTCTCCCTCTCTCTCCCTCTCTCTTTCTTTCTGTCGCTCTCTCTCTCTCTCTCTTTTTCCTTTCTCACTCCTCTTGCTCTTTTAGGGGCCGCGCCCAATACACGTGACAGGTCAGGATGCTGTACCCCCCAGAGAGGGTACGATCGAAGACGAAGAGGGCGGGTATCGGGGGTTGGGGATACACATGGTGAGGAACAAGCGAGCAGAAAAGAGCGAACAGTCTTGAACTGATCGTTAGTGAAATTGTTGTTGGTGTTGTTGGTGGTGGTGCTGTTGTTGTGTCGTTCTCTCTCTCTCTCTCTCTCGCGCTCTTTCTCCTTTTATATTTGCACGCGTGCGTGTGGGGCTTCTCCCATCCCTCCAGAACACAGGTAATGCGACTACGAACCAAATGCTCGCAGCGCGTCTCCATGGAAAAGGGTCGATACTCAACTCGAGGCTGCGGCGCCCTGCCGCTGGCTCCAGGCAACCTGCGCTGCGCGATGACGGGAAGGGCGGCGGACGCCCAAGTGGGAGGCCAGGGCCAGAGAAACTCAGCAAGCGGGCGGGCAAGCGGGAAAAGACAGGAACGGGGACAGCAAGCAGGGAGACGGGAGACACGGAGGAGGGAGGGGAGGAACAAGGGCAAACAGACTGGCGGGCAGCGGGGCCGGGAGAGAAAGGGCCACCCGCGACGAGGCGATGGACACCACGGCGGTGACGCCGACAAGGCGGCGGAGGCGGAGGGAGTGCTTGAGATGGTGGCGGTCGTCGGGTCGTCACCCGTGGGGGGTCGTCGTCGGGGGATCGACGCGGGGGGGCCGTCGGTCGGGAAAGATGTCGGGAAAGGCGTCGGGAACCTTTTTGGGGTGCTAACCGAACCCAGCACAACCACTGGCCGTGGCGGGCAGCAAAGTCACGCGGGCAGGCTTTGGCGGCGAAGGCGTTGCAATCAGCCTGACGTACGTGCCGTCGCACGTCTGGCCAGTGCGGCCTCGTCGGGCGGCGGAAGCTGTGCCCTAAGTCAATGACATAGTCGACTCTTTAGATCGCGATGCCCGCATCCACGACTGCCGCAGCCAACGGGTGGAATGCCGCTCGTGCATACGGCGAAATTGTCCCAGCCGTCAGCGCCGGCCTCAACAAAGTGGTGGTCATGCAGGGACTGGATTCGTGGTGCGTTACCCACTATGTTCAGGGTAGGACAGATAACGCGCACTCGTTGCATACTGGATCCCATTGCTTCCTCCACTGCGATGTCCACTGGGAGGATGACTACACGCGCAGTCATTCGCCAGCGCGCGTGCCCGTCGTGGGACGCAGTTGCGGGCCCATCGTCACTAGGCAGTCCGTGCCTTGCGCACGCAGTGCCACAGGAAGTCGCCGTCGCATAGAGTATCACCACGCCGCTGGCCTTCGCCATGGTAACCCGCGGGTGCATCTCTGGCGCTTACTCGCGCGCTTGATCGATGACCGGAATGTCATCAGGACGGACCGAGCGTGCCAGCGCCGACGTTGGTCCAGGAGATGTTCTCTGCCCGTGGGCAGGCCGCGGCGACGTGGAAGCCCGAATGTTCTTGGCTCTTCGATGGCCAGTTCGTCTGCGAGATTTCGCCACGAAACGAAGTCCCTGGGACAGCCGAGAACACGCTCATCTCTGGGGGCGCCCTGCGAGCCATGGCTCTCGTGGCCCAACTTGCCTTGCCTGCGCAGGTGGGGGCGCATGCGATGACAATGAGGCCCAGCCAGCGCTTGTCCCAGACCAAGTAAGCTACTCCACAGGCGCGTCTGGCGCACCAGGGCGGGCGTCACCCACGCCTCCATCCTGTATCCAAGGGCTCCGTGGAGTGCTCGCCTCCCGCAAGTGCTGACGTGGGAATGCTGAAATGGCACCCACATGTACAGCACCACTTCGGCAGGAATGACACGCGAAGGCCCCAGCGCGACCATCGTCCTGAAAGGCGCGACGCATGCAGTCCACAAGGCCATCCTTTCTCGCAGGTGAGGAGATGTATCGAGCAGAAGTCGGTCCAGAGATGGACGCGGGAAAGCCAGCGGGCACGGAAGCCCAATCAACGCTGACTACAAACTTGGCCACATCTTCGGAAGCCCGCGCATCGAACCGAGACACGCCGGGCCGTCTGCCTGCCTAATAGCGCTGGGGGCGCCGCGCCGACTGCAAGACCCGGACCCGCGGGGCCCGTCGCAAACGCCTCGGCAGCCATGATCTGTTCGTCCATCTCGGCCTGCGGAAGAGCTCAGAACGCGCGGCGATGCGAGTCCCAGATCCTCGCAGGGCACGCGACGGCGGCAAACGGGGAAAAACTGGTGGTGCGCAGGCTGCTCACGAATTGTCTCCGTGCCGAACAGGCACCGCGTCCCGCATTGAATGGCCCACTCTAATGCTTGCAAGGGCCAGACGAGAGAACCAGGGACTCGCGACGAAGGCCGCGAGCGCGCTGCGCGTTGCAGTCCCAGTCCCGCACGAGAACGGACGACGTCTTCTCTGCATCCGGCATGTCGCGAAGGGCCATGCCATTCGCGCGTGGCTCCTCGACGCGCAGGCGCGCGCTTGACCGAAAGCCAGTTGGCAGCCGCCGCGCAGCAGGCGGGGGATCCAGGCCGGCTGCGAAACTGTGAACTCAGTTCGCATGCCTCCAGCGCCGACGTAGCACGCGTGGCTGGGCAATGCGAACGCGGACCCAGGTGCTCGTAACTTCTTTTCATACGAACGCCCGATTTGTTTGAACGCCCCTCTGCATGGTCGTCAAGGATGATGACCTGGTGGGAACCCTATGACCCACCCGCCCAAGACTCCACCCATGGTCTTCCGCTCTCTATTGCCACCCCAGATGCACGGTGGCGCGCGGCCAAGGGCAGCGGGCGCGCGCAGCCCGCGGCGACCAAATGCAACGCGGCAAGATGCTGCATCGCAACGCGATAATATGATCGCGGTCCTCAACACGCAGGACGACGACGCGCTCCGCGGCAAAGAGAAACTCCGAATGAAAGACAGCCTGATGCCGCAAACCCAGTGCTCCTTCACCCCAAGGCACGGCATGTCATGCAATGTCGGCGCGGGGAGTGGCATGGGGGAAGGGGGGGCACGGGGAAGAGGTCGCTTCAAACACAGCTCCACTTCGGGCAAGCATTGGGTAAGCAGTGCGCCGAGGGCCCAGGTCAGACTATTCAGGCGGGGGAGGAGGGGGGAGGAGTGGAGGAGCGGGAAAGAGGGGACGGTAAGGGAAGGGTCAGGGGTCAGGAAAGAGGGGAAGGGAGCGAGGGAACAGGAGAGGAACGAGAAGATGATGCGGGGACGAGGGTGTGGGGAAAGGTGAGGTGGAGGAGCAGGAAGGGAGGGGCGGTGATGGAGAGGTAGAGCGTCAGAAGGTACCCCTTCCAGCGACGAGGGGATCGGAGTGCGGAGAGGATTAACGCAAGAGGAAATGGTGAGGGAAAGGAGCGATGCATGCGCTTCCACATTACCAGTCTGGCCCGCACCCCCACCACCAGCCCTCTCCGCTCCTCATACACGCCCTGGGGCGACAATGCGCTGGGAAGGTCGAGGCAAGCGAGGCGACGTTGCGCGAAAAAACAACCTGCGAGCGAAACGGTGGCAATACGTGATGCGGGATGGCTCTCTCTCTCTCTCTTTCTCTCTCCCCCTCCGCGAGAGCAACAATATCATTCCTCAGCAAGCTACGGGGCCGCTGACGCCTGAAAGAACATTGTGTATGCCTCCTGGGAATTGTTCGCCTCCATCTCCTCGATCCATCCTGGGCGAACACAGCCCATGCACATCCATACGTATATCTATATATATGTACACATACGAATAGACATGTACTATATACGATGTGTGCATATGCATGTAGGAGGTGATGTATATATATATATATATATACATATATATATTTATACATGTGTGTGTGCACGATACAGCTGCTTCAAACAATGGTTGCAAGCGAGGGTTCTTACTTGCGGTCCAATGGACTGGGCCATGTCTTCGGTATGGCGGCTAGTTGGTCGCCGTCGCCGCTCCGTCGCCGCCTCGCCGCCGACCGCCCGTCCTCTCGGCTGGGTCTTCGGCCTGGCGGTTATGTGGCCGCCGTCGCCGCCCATCGCCGCCTCGTCGCCGCCGTTGGCGCTCAAAGAATTCGACCCTGCGGCGCGCTCGTAGATCGATCAGAACAAGATTGCACTTGCACCAACTAGGTTGCACAACCACGTATATTGCACCGCGTAGGTTGCACTACATATATTTGGCCATCAAAGATTCCACAACATCCATTGCACATTATTTCTAACACCACCTGGGTTGCGCGACATGGATTGGACAACATTGTGCGCCACATATATTGCACAGCATGTATTGCACTACGTAGTTTGCACCAAGTCGATTGCACCGCATAGGTTGCACTACACATGTTGCACACGATTGGCGACAACGGACTATTACGCAACAGCGAAGTGCACACCATAGATTGCTCCACATGCAATACACAACATGTATTGTACCACATGTATGGTACACCGTGTGTAAGTTGTACAACAAAAATAGCACAACATAACACGGCATACAGTACACCGCGCAGAGCGCACAACTTCCGTACACACATACATTATAAAAATACGTATATGTATATACACCAGAAATACATATACGTATATGCACATTCCGTGTATATATACATACCGTGTAATCCATATATGTATACGCATCCCGTATTCGCCGGCCCAACGGGCCAGAGACGTGCTAAGATCTCCGGTAACTGGTTAAGAATTCTCTAGTTCGCGCGCGCGGGGCGGCCCCTGGGGGTCCCCAGACGAAAAGTACCCCGGCAAGGTCCTGAGAGAGTCCCGAGAGGAGCCCCCCAGAGCGCTCCAGGAGCGCTCCATGAGCGCACCAACAGGGCTCCGAGACGTCCCCGAAAGGCCAAGAGGCCCCCAAGAGGCCCCCAAGATGGTACACGAGGGGTCCGACATGCCACAAGATCGCTCCAAGACGCCCAAGATAGCCCCCAGACGCCCCAAGAGGCCTCCCAGAGCACTCCCAAGAGGGCCCCCGGAGGCAAAATTCATTGTTTTTCCTTAGGTTTTTGAGAGATTTTGGAGCTTCCACCTTTTCGGTTCCCGACGCCCCAAGACGGCCCCAGAGGCCCCCAAGATCGCCCCAAGAGGGCCCAAGAGGCCCCCAAGAGGGCCCCAAGATGGCCCAAGAGGGCTCGAAGACGGCCCAAGAAGCCTCCAAGACGGTCCAAGAGGGCCCCAAGAACACCCCCAAAGGGGCCCCAGAGAGGGAACACGAAACAAAATTTCGCGCCCTCGGCCCTAAGAAGCCCCTACGAGGCCCCAAGAGGCCCCTAAGAGGCCCCAAGAGGCCCCCACGAGGCCCTCAGGAGGCCCCCAAGAGTCCCCCAAGCGGCCCCAGGAGGCCCCCCAAATGCCCCCCCGAGCGCCCCAGGAGTCCCCCAAGCGGCCCCAGGAACCCCCACAGCGCCGCATTGACACCAGGCCCTCGGGCAAACGGCAGACATGAGACCGTATGGGCCGGCGGAATGAGCGAAGCGATTCAATCTAATGACATGTGTATACACCGTAAACGTACAAATTCCGCATGTACATATATACACATATGCATTGCACTTCGTGGACTGCGCACATCAGATTGCACAACACATGTAACTACATCTATTGAATTGCAGTCAGACTTAGGCCAGACCAACGTCCCTCAAGAACATGAGACCCTCAGTCGGTCAAACCGAACTGAAAATCTAAGGGTATCCCCCCCAAGGTGCACAAGAGCATCCAACAAGCACGGAAAACACTAGGGTACCCTCCTCGAACCGATTTCGATCTGATATCTCGGTCCGACTGTATTGCACAGCTGACTGTGCATAGCACATATCATTTCACATGCATAGGTGTATACACATGTCGCGGTCAAGACAAGTTGTACCACATCGATTGTCCCATATATATATATGTATTGGTGAACACGGGGGGATATCCATTACACAATAGATATTGCAACACATCTAAGACACAACGTACGTTACTCATCATACTCTTGCACAGCATGGACCGGACAACCACTACCGTTTGCAAGCAACAGGGTGCACAGCCATCTTGCACGACATACAGAACACCACATAGTTTGCACAACAGCTGCTTCACGACAGCTACTGCTGAAAACATCAGGATTGTGATCAAAGCTGGCCAACATCTGTTTATACGCGTGCATTTATATATAAATGGATAAATGTTTATACATTTATGTATGTATTAGGTTCTAACCGTGGCGCGCGCTTCACGCGCGCTTGCTCTCTGACCGTGGCCACGGAACTGCTCCGAAGACGGTATGAGCAGGCACAGGTCCAAGTATGTGACGTTAGCCCAGAAATCCGACCTCCTCCCCGTCCTCCGCCTCCCCCTCCGCCTCCTCCTGCCTCTCCGCCCCCTCCTCCCCCTTCCCCCTCCGTCCCCTCCCCCTTCCCCTCCTCCTCCTCCACCTCCTCCACCTCCTCCACTTCCTCCTCTCCCTCCTTTTCCTCCTCCTCTCCTCCTCCTCCTCCTCCTCCTCCCCTCAAACGATTTGGGCTGAAGCGCCAAGTCCCACGCCCCCGTGCGTGGGCGAGTGCTCGCAGCCATCCTTGTACTTCTACGTAGTGCCCGGGGGATGTTGCAGCAGGTGTGCCCCATCACCTGCCTGCATCAACGAAAGCAGGGATAACTTTTACGATGTCAGCCCCCCGCCGCCCATGGAGCAGGTGTCCGTTTTGCCAAACGTGTGAATACAATGACAAGTTCCTCCTTGCAGGCTGTCGGTGCAGCAAGTGTTCCAAGCAGGTGCGGCGTTTCAAGCCGCGCGCTCAGTCCAAATCTGATGAACGAGGTGTGCGCTTTGAATATGAGGAGGCGTTTGGAGCCACGACTCCACGCAACGGGAAGAAGGGCAGCTTCAAGAACACTCTAAACAACTCGACGCTGTTCGCACAGGCGCTGGAGGCCACCCAAGACACCGAGCTGCAGCAAGCGTTGCAGCAGCAGCAGCAGTCGCAACGGTTGGCGAGTCAGAACATGAGCGCCAAGAGCAGCGACGCCGTCGATGCCGTCAAGCGCACAGACGGCACCTGGAAGACCGCCAGGAACCGACACAATCAGCTGGTGAATCAGGTGATGGGGCTGCGGCAGCAGCTCAGCACCGCGGAGAGCAAGAAGAGCGAGGCTGTTGGCGAGCTCGCCCGCGCAGCGGCGGCGAAGACGGCGGCCACGAGGGCGTTGGTGCAAGCTGAGGGAGTCGGTGCTGCTGCCACTTCCAACGAGCAAGAGCCCAAGCCCATGTTCGGCATCACGGTGAAGATGGATGTGTTCAGCTCCTTCGAGTCGTGGGATTGCGGGGGTACGGACAAGGCCGAGCTAGAGCAGTACAAGGCAGCCATGGAGGAAAAGAGCTCCACGCGGCAGTCGTTCGTCGACAAGGCGAAGCTGACAGAAAAGGAGGTCGCCGAGAGGATGGCCAAGAAGCGCAAGGGGAACGACGGCGGCGCCCAGGACAGCCTGGGCGCTGCCGCTCCTGAGGCAGCGGCAGGGGAAAGGGGAGCAGGTGCTTCCAGCGCTGCCAGCCCCGACGCCGTCGATCCCGCGCGCGAAGAGGCCATCAAGAGGGAGGCGGCGAGGATCTCCCAAGCGAGGCTTCAGGCTGCCGCAGCCACCAACAAAGACAAGGGCACCGCGGGTGGCAAGGGCGCGGGTGCGCCTCCTGCTGCCGACGGCCCAGGCCCAAATTGACTGCGGACCTTTGCGACGACTGCGCAGACTACGGGTGCTGCGAGCTCGGGAACCACCAGTGCGTGTACTGGCTCCAGTACGGGCAGCTCAGGGGCTGCCACGTCTTCGGCCCCTTCGCCAACTTCAATGTGTACCTCTGTGGCTGCTGCTGTCACGGGTTGCACTACAACTACGGCGAGCAACGACGAACAGATTTCGTCTCTTTTTTCTCGAATGTCACGTGTATGGGCGACAAAGCTTGGGGGGCATATCGGCACACTCGTGAAAGAAGGGTTCTCGTGCGCAAAATTGTGTGAGACGCGCATCAAACAGCAGTCGGTCAGCAAGTGGAGGCGGAAAGCACGCGATGGTAAAATCAAGCTCTATGCCGACACTGCACGGCCGAAGAGCAAGTGGATCAGTCCCACAGGCAGTGCATTTGCCAACGAGGGCGGTGAGTTGCTCCTGGTGGCTAGGCGCATGCCGGCTCGCATCTTGGACGAGGCGCGAGCTGTCCCAGGGCTCCGATCGGAGCGGAGCAGTTCTTTCGACGGCTTCGAACCAGTCTTGCTTGAATTAAAAAAAGATATCATATTGTCGTTGTCACCTCTTTTACGGTTACTCAGCCACAGGTATGAGAGGTCATACTGCCCCAAGGTTTCGGAAACTTGAGTTCCTCTTAGCTGCTCTACAGCTTCCTTGGTTAGTTGTTGCCGATTGGACTGTCGCCCCTGCCCCCATCAATGAGCCTGGCTTTCTCGAAGAGACAGGGGGGGATTGTGCGTTGCGAGGCTGACTTCACTTGTGCACCTGGAGGGGATCAGACGCCCTCTCGCTTACATCACTTATATTCTATGCTTACTAGTGCCGCTGCGCGGCCCTATATTCGCTCAATTCGCGCCGTGCCGTGGCGCCCGCATGCCGGGCTCCATGTGGACCGTGCAGGCGCCAGCTCACAGTTCAATACTCGTGTCTAGAATTGCCCCCCCCCCCAGGCCCCCCAAAG